CCAGCACGGCCAATGCACCCAGTCGCTGCCAGACAGCCAAGCAGGCGTGGACGAAACAACAAAAACGTAGACCAGGTTAACTGAACCATTCATTTTAACATTGTTTTTACCATTGAGAACTTCTTGGGTTTCTTTGGCCTTGGCACGGATTGCCACCTGACGTTGTGTTGCCAGGCTACTGAAGGCTGGCTTTAACTCGCTGCCAGCGGTGCCTGGTCTGAGTGACAAAAACAATTATTTTTCAGTTGTGTTCGTTTGGTGCTTAATAATGACAAAAATCCAAATCCATGAACAGTTCTCATTGGATTCCATGACAAGCTCTGAGTTTCAATGAGCATTAACTAATTCTATAATAAACAGTGACCTTTGGTTACATTTCTGTCACAAATTTAGTGTCAAGTAATAAGTGTATGTAGCTTGAAGGCAATTTTTGACAATTGATTCAGTTACCAACACATTAGAAATTACATCTGAAATGGAAATCACTATGTAAAAAACAAAAACCACGTCATAAAACACAGCTGAATTGTAAAGTACTAGTTTGAAGAAGGTGGCAATTAAGCTCACTCCAGATTTTCATGCTGCGCCAACTCATTCATTGCCTCAAAGATCTCTTGTCCAAGATTCTTGAGTTTCTCCACATTTTTCCGAACAAACTTCTTGTTGTCATTCAGAGCTGCGCTGCAAGTGGCAAAACAAACAAAGCATACATCAAGGGCATTCAACATGAAATGTAACTGGGTGCCTAACGCCTTATTTGAAGTACAGTCACAACCGAGTCATATCACTCCCACATAATGAATCATTTGACTTTTTCCCACAGGGAATGTATAAACTTATTTTCCCTAGACCATCCCTCAAGTCTGTTTGCCAGAAAGGAAGAGCTCAAACAAATCAAACAGGTTGTAGCCTCTTAGCATGCCTAACTAAGAAAGAAAAGTTGCAAACAATACATGTTTGCCTCGTTAATTTTTGAAAACATCATCTGTGACGACCCCATTCCGTTTCCTTTCGCTGCAGGTTTCCCTCAATTAGTTTTGAAAACGTAAACAATGAACGAAAACATTCCTGCAAAAATGCGAGATGATGACGGTGGAGACTCACTTTGCTATTCGTTCCATTTCTATCTCTTCTTTGTCTCTCTCCTTGAAAAACTCATCGCTCAGTAAATTCTTTTCCTGCAGAGCAAAATCAACATTGCAAATGTTGAAAACAAAAATTCACTGACCATTTTCTTTCAGCCTCCAAAGATTGTTGCCTGACCGTGGGCGGGACCAGAGCATTACAAAGAGGTCTTGCTGACTCCCAGCGATAAAACAAAGAGTTGGTCAGGGCAGAGCAGTGTTGTAGTTGAGTCCGTCACAAGTCCCTACAAGTCCATCGCAAGTCACCCAGGTTTAAGCCAAGCCAAAAGCTTTTCAAATGAACTGTGACAAAAGCATTCCTTTGTCACTGTTCATCCGGCTACTTATGACTGGTCTAGTGAGGGACTTGTGAAAGGACTTGGAATGCACCCGACCACAACACATGGGACAGGGCCAGATTAAGGACTGGTTTTCATGAGGTAAATAAATAATTACGGTACCACCGTCTATGGCAGCCTGTAGCTCTTTTCTTCTCAATGAAACAAACCTGCAGACAACAATTGTCAATAAATTAAAAAACCCACATATGGAGGCGTCATATCCCCCAAATCATCATTCAACAATGCCACTGGTCATAAATAACTCCTTTCTGCAACTGTACCGTCAATAAGAGAATGATTTATACATCTCAGCCATGATCAAAATTATGATTAACTGCATTTTTTCATTTCCTTTGACTTTCAGATGTTTCAGTTTTTTTGTTTTGGTGCTTTTTATTACTTTCTTACTTTGTAAAACCAAGACCAAATGAAACCATTGTCAGACTCACCAGTGTCGTCTGTACATCAAACAGCCAATCCCCAACCTCATCAACAAGCTTCAAAATAACAGAAACCAATTGACAGCACTTTCATTTCTCATAAGCTTCAAAATGTGGTTGTTAGCACGTCATTTCCAGTCGCTCCAGAATCTTGATTTTCTTTTCTCTTTCCTCAGGTAAGTCAAGAACGCATTCAATTTCTATCAATTAACAAGTTGTTAATGATCCAGGCAAACTTGGTTTAAACTGAACTTTCACATAGCATAAAGAGCAATGCATTGAGAACAACACATCAGTAAGTTTTAATAAGAGCATCTGCTCACATCATATCTTTGTGATGTGAAAAAATGAGCAAAAAAAAATGCTAATACTGTTGCTATGCCACCATCAACTTGTCCCAATATTCCTCAAGCTGTGTTCCAAATTACTAACCAGTGACCTGGCTTCGACTCAAACAAGAGCCACGAGCTAAGAGGTCACTGTCAGAACTTACTGTTTCTCGGCGAATGGAAACCTGGATGAATTCATGAATTGTGTCCAAGATGTTCTGCTTGTGTAACATCTGCAACAGAATAGTTGTACAATATGGGTGTACTTCAAACATGCCAGATGATATTCTCTGGCCGACACGGTCACAATGTACATTTTTGCCTCTTTCTCCAACACCCTGAAAATGCTAAAGATTACTGTTTACTTCAACACTCAGAAACAAAACTGAATATTTGATTAAATTGAGCAAATGAGTAAAGCACTTAATTTAAAATTACTTGCACTGTGCATAAATATCAGGAAATCAACTTGGTCCAGTACTTGTTTTAAAAAACCCCATAAACAGGGCATTCAGGAGACGTGACATTACAGAAAGTTATCTCTCTTCAAAATCTCAGTCAGTCATAAAAATATGTTCCTTTTTCATGGGAAACAATTTTCCTGACAATTTGTTGTATCGAGCAAACCTTTCATAAAGGTCTAAAATTCTAACGTGTCCCCAAAAACTTAAAATTAGACTCTTTTCGCCCCAAACCTCCACCTCTTCCTTCAAAAATTACCAAAAAGCTTTCAAAGAAGTATTAAGTTAGTCTTATCTGACAACAATCACTGATATCCCTACCTCTTCTCTCCTGGCCTTTGTTTGAAAGCCAGGAGGTCGACGCCTTCGCAACTCTTCTTCAAGTATCTGGACAAGAGAAGGAAAAAAAGAGGAAATCAAGA